AAATATTTAAGAAGTAAACTATAAGAAGATACTATTTACAGGATGGATAGTTCAACTAATGACTACCAGCATTCCCGGCTTCAAGTTGTTTAAGGTGGCTCCCTACAGTTATTCTTGTTTAAGCAATAATTCCGTAAAACAGGCTTATTCGTGCAGAACGCGAATTCTTTTCGACTTGGTGGCAATATTGGTCACCTAAGGAATATTTCGAACTAGATTTCGACGATGTCAATCTTCCCATGGCAACATGACGACAACATAAAGCCTTCCAATTTAACCCATAAATGTGCCGCTATCTCAAAAACGATGTCGGTGACCTATCTTATTTATTTCATATATCAATAAGGAATGATGCTCTGCAACTGTGGTGAAAGTTTAAAAAAATTCTGTAGTGTGTGATTTTTTTAAAAGCGAAAAATTTATTGCGAAATTTCCACACTACAGATTTTTTTTAAATTTGAAATTTATAAAATTTACCGCAAAATAAATTCGTGGTCAAAATTTGAAGATAGGTCACCGATGAAACTAATGAGTAAAATGCAAATAAAGTTTGAAAATAGCCTCGTGTAACTCGAGAAATTCCCCTATTGAAAAGCGTCGCTGACTAGTAAAAGATTGTACGCGGGCGCAGAACGAGTTTTCATTCAGCAAAATCGAGCCGCAATGTTGTTTTTACTGTTTTGTTTTTGTCAACTTTTCGATTTATTTGAGTGCTATGGACTAGAGGTGTGCGTCGGATCGGATTGACCTCTCTCAATCCGATGGTTTGTCTAAGTTCTCAATCCGAATCCGATCCGATCCGAAGATGAAAAAAGTAACCCGATCCGATCCGAAACAATGTTTATAAAATCCGATCCGATGCTAAAATTCGTAATCCGATCCGATCCGAACTTAAGTTGTGTGCGCTGTACAGCGTGCGTTAATTATTATGAACGTATTTTTTCATGATCATAAACGATATTTTGGAAATAATGAATTTCTAGCAAAAATAAGCAGATACGAATCCGATAAAAATTGCAGGGCGATATCACATAATTATGCCTTATAGCGTTCACATTTACAGTACACAGTAACAGCAGTTTATATTTTATTAGAATTAGCATAGAAAAAAAAACCAACTAGTCAAAAATGTTTTATTCAGTATAATAAATCATGAGCTTGAACTAGGTTTACATTTTAAAACATCTTAAAGTTTATCACTATTCACTAATAAACCTCCTTGTCAGGCTTCATGATACATAAACCTAACAAACCAAACAAAAAAACACAACATTCCTAAATTTCCTATATATCCAATTCCCGTACGTAACTGAGAAATATACGTCCAAAATCCAAATAACTGAAAACTCTTTTTAGAAATATATGTCACAAAAATGGAATATGGAATTACTTTTATGCTCAAAGCCATTGTGAATTCTGATGCCATTTGTAACGTAAAAGTGGAATACAGCTGCAGAATATAGAACTTTCTCAATTTGTAAAAATATTCGAATAATTCGACGTGATACAAGAAAAATCAAATCCGAACCGATCCGACAAAAAACCTGCAAAATCCGATCCGATCCGACAGAAACAAAACGAAATCCGATCCGATCCGATAATCCGATCCGAATCCGATCGGATCGGATCGGATTGGATTCGGATCGGATTCGGATCGGATTCGCACACCTCTACTATGGACAGCCAAGGATTATTGTGAAGGATTAAATCGATGAAAACAAGGTTGAAGCTAATTGAATCCTGCCGTTTACTCAATCTATGAGCTGTAACAGCCTATTAACAGGTGGACGTGTTTTTTTTTGTTTCATGTTTGGTTTTGTACTTTTTGCTAATAATGAACAATTCGGCTATGAAACTGAAATATTTTTCTGTTTACATATAATCACTTTAATCTTGTAGAAACACGACCGAAAACGTGAACGTTTTCTTGAAAAGTAAACAACTTTTTAAACGTTTGTATGCAATTTTGCAAATGTTTTACAGTTGAGTCAGTTGACAGTGTATAAAAAAAAATTAAAAATATTGTTTCGTAGCTATTTTTTGGTCTAGTGATATTCGTATCATATGTAGAATTGCTGTATAGACTCGCAAGTGATTTGGCACTCAAAACGAAGTATTATTCAACGCTTTTTTCCATTAGAAACCTTTCATAAATAGCTTTATTTTTAAAAAAAGTATGGTCAATTTTTTTTTGTTTTGATCATGCAGTTGCGTGGGATAGTTCACGTACTTGTCCCGCGAACATCCCGCTCGGAACTGTAGGGAGCCTTCTTAAATACTGCTTAAACTAAACTGTCAAATATAGTAAACATGGACTTTTTTAACATTTAGTTGTTACTAAATATTAACATATTTTTTTATACAAATTATTTAACATTTTACAAGTCATATATTACAATATTGAGCATATTCATATTACAATATATAATAACCTTTTTATTAATATTTTTAACATTAAATATTTTTATTTATACAAATTATTTATTATCTTACAATTCATGTATTATATAAAAATAGCATAAAACCAGTGGCAAAGCCAGCACAACAATTTGCCAGTCATCCCATTCAAATTTAGAAATGATCATTAGAAATCATTATTCAGAAATGATCAATATTCATTTCTTTAGAAATGGATTGTTTTCATGGCCTTTGAACATGAAAATATTTGTATATCATGATTAAATTGTTGGGTTGGCTTCTCCACTGTATAAAACATTCAGTGAATTTGATAAATTATACCTGAAAAAGTATGCATTAAACAACTATTCTAATTAATTTTAAAAGTAAATGTAAAATCATTTATCTCTGTTGCTCAATAACGAAGCCAATAGTTGTGTTTGTTGTTGTTGTTGTTGTTGTTGTTGTTGTTGTTGTTGTTGTTGTTGTTGTTGTTGTTGTTGTTGTTGTTGTTGTTGTTGTTGTTGTTGTTATTATTGTAATGTTGGGTTTTTGCCTTTTTTGTTTTTCATTGTTGTGGTTGTTGTTGTTGTTGTCGTCGTCGTCGTCGTTGTTGTTGTTGTTGTTGTTGTTGTTGTTGTTGTTGTTGTTGTTGTTGTTGTTGTTGTTGTTGTTGTTGTTGTTGTTGTTGTTGTTGTTGTTGTTGTTGGTTGCTGTTGTTTTGTTATTGTTGTTGTTGTTGTTATTATTATTGTTTTTGTTGTTGTTGTTGTTGTTGTTGTTGTTGTTGGTTGCTGTTGTTTTTGTTATTGTTATTGTTGTTGTTATTATTGTTATTGTTGGTTGTTGTTGTTGGTCGTTGTTGTTAGTTGTTGTTGTTATTGGTTGTTGTTATTGGTTGTTGTTGTTATGGATAGATGGTGTTATTATTTACATATAACTGTTACTAATTTTTCAGCGAAATCGACAAGGTTGCAGATGGTATCGGTTATAAACTGGGCAACATGGTATCTAGCATTGTATCACTGATAGCCGGTTACATTATTGCCTTTATTTATTGTTGGCAACTGTCACTTGTATTAGCAGCTTTGTTTCCAGTAATGATTGTTATTGGATCATTGATGGCAAAGGTATGTTTAGCTAGCACGATTTAAATTAAGGCTGTTTTTCATTACTGATAAAGCTAGTCAGTATATAGGAATAAAGTTCGTCAAAGCTCGACAACTGCCGGAATTGAGAGCCTGTTCGCAGGCTACTGCCGGAATGGACCATTTGCATTATAGACTAAATTTTGATCTATTTAACAAGTCTAGAAAAAATTTCATCACAGCTTGAAAGAGCATCACAAAATTAGCAGTATTCCAAAGTTTCGTTGCGAAATGTTGTAAAATGCGGATAATATAACCTTGCGAAGTTTGCCGTTTTTCAGTCATTTTGCATTACGCGGGAGAAATTGACAGCCCAATACCCTTTGGGGCTGTCAATTTCCCGTTTGTAATACAAAATGACTGAAAAACGGCAAACTTCACAAGGCTATATTATCCGCATTTTACAACATTTCGCAACGAAACTTTGGAATATTACTAATTTTGTGATGCTCTTTCAAGCTGTGATGAAATT